CAATATAACCCCAATCAAAATCCCCATGACATTCTTAATAGAAATGGAAAAGACTATAAAATTCATATGGAAGTCCCACAGACTCTGGATAGTCACAGCAGTCCTGCATGAAAAGAATAATGCTAGAGGGATTACCATACCAGATTTCAAGTTATATTACAGAGTTCTAGTTAAAAAAAAGTGATAGTGGAACAAAAATTGAGGAGTAGATCAAAGGACCAGAACAGAAGCCCAGTATTAAACATACATAATTGTAGATACCTGATATTCAACAATGATACTGAAGATACACACTGGAGGAAACACACTCTCTTCAACAATGGTGCTGGGAAATCTGGGTGTCCATATGTATAAGAATGAGTTTAGAGTCATGTCTATCACCATATATAAAAATCAACTCAAAATGATTCAAAGACTTCAATGTGAAACTTGAAACTCTGAAACTTCTTTAAGAAAACATAGAGGATAGCCTACAAGATATAGGTACAGGAAAGGAATTTCTGAGTAGAATTCCATTTGCTATGGAATTGCTTCAACAGTTGGCAAATGGGGTCTCATAAAACTAATAAGTTTTTGAACAACAAAGGAAGTAAATCAAGCAAGTAAAGAGGAAACTCACAGAGTGGGAGACAGTATTTGTCAGTTATACACCTGATAAAGGCTTAACATCCAGGATATAGAAACACCTAAAAATATGACCAATAAAGATGAGCTATGTATCTGAACAGAGTTTACAAACAAGAAATAAAAATTGCTAAAAATATCTTTAAAAGTGTTCAATATTCTTAGCAATAATGGAAATATAAATCAAAACTACTTTGAGGTTTCATTTTTCTCCAGTCAGAAAGGCTAAGATCAAGAAAACAACTGACAGCAAATACTGCTGAAGATGTAGGAAAAGGGGAACCCTCATTTACTGTTGGCTATATTGCAAGCTAGCCACTGTGGAAATCAGCATGGAGAATTCTCAAAAAGTTATGAGTAGACCAACTGTATCACCCAGCTACACCACTCATTGCCATGTGCCAAAAGGACTTGACAACCTGCTCCACAGGCATATTTGCTCAGTCATGTTCTTCGCTGCCCTATTCAAAATACATAGGAAATGGAAACAGCATAAATATCCTTCAACTGAAGGATGGTTAATGAAAATGTGGCACATATACAGCAATGAATTCTATTCAGCTGCAAAGATAAAGGAGATTATAAAATTTGGAGGTAAATTAATGAAAATGGGAAATATAATGGTTGAGGTAGACCAGATCCATAAAGATGTTCTATGTTCTTTCATTTCTAGATCTGTGGTAGTTACTTTCGTATTTCTGTCACAAAACACCATGACCAAGGCAACTTATATTTTCCAAGGAAAATTATAAAAGAAAGTTTTTAGTTTGGCCAGTGTTTTCAGAGAGTTAGAAAATGTGATGGTGGAGCAAAGGCATGGTTGCAGGAACAGCTAAGAGCTTATATCTTAATCTGCAGATTGGGAAAAGAGAGCACACACTGGCAATGTCATGAGTATTTTGAAATCTCAAAGACTGACCACAGTGACACACTTTCTCCAACAAAGTTACACTTCCTAATCCCTCCCAAACAGTTCTACCAACTAGAGACCAGGCATTTAAGTATATGCTCCTGATCAGGGTTCTTCTACCCATCTCCTCCATATCCTCCCCATGATCCAATCCCATATCTCTCTTTAGAAAACAAAGAGGCAAATAAAAACCCAAACAAACCAGAATAAAAAAATGAAAGAGCACAAGAAACACACACACACACACACACATAATCATAAAAACACATAAATGAAAGCTATAATATACAAGCAAAAGACGAGTAAGATTAAAAAAAGTGTCCAAACAAATCTTTATGAGACAAGAATCAATGAAAAGCACCATTGAGTTAATTTTGAGTTGCTTTCTATTGAATGAATGAATGAATCACTCTCAT